AAAATATATATTCAGAAGAATTATTTTGATTATTATTATTAGAATTTTTTTTAAAAAAATTTTATTTTCACAAAGCACGACATGTCACGTTAAATCGTTTGTAACATATATGAATTGATCAACAAGGGGGTTCCAATTTTTCTAGATTCGATTTCCAAATTTGGTAAAATACTTGACTGAAATATATTTTACAAACAGATTCATTCATAGATCTTGACTTTTAACACTTATTTCGATACAAGTTATTCAATAATTGACAAACGTTCATCAGTATATTTACAAACTTGCTTTGGAAGTTTCGTATGTCGTCATATGTCTTGTATTTAACAGTTTACTTTTTCTGTTTAATTTTATTTTTTTTAGATTACACAAATAAAAATCATGGAATAAATTTAATCCAATGAAATGGTTGTTATTCCATAAAAGAATAAATTTCAATTGTTAAAAAATCAACCAAGCTTTTTTTTTTCTTAATTAAAAGAAAAAAAGATCACTCGCAAAGAAGAACCCTTGTGTGAATCAAAAGCCATTTGCAAATTTCGATTATTAAAATCTTTTGTCCTGATCTTTTCCTTGTGTTTTTTTTTCATCCATTGCTTTAGAAGAATAAGCTTCATGCAAACATCAAAAGTCATTTACAAATTCTGATTGTTTTAAAAAAAATCAACCAAGCTTTTTTTTTTCTTAATCAATCGACGTATTTTATTTGTTTTTCCCGAAAGGAAATTTTTTCATTAATCAACGATTTTATTGTTTTCTCCAAAAGGAAATCAGATCATCCACTATCCTTCAAATGGTCAAAATCAAAGTTTTTTCTTATCCAGATCACACTATTTCTCTCAAATGGTCAAATTCAAAAAGAAATTTTAATTCAATACAAACATTCAAAAAAATTTTGCACATATTGTTTTGTTTATCAATCATTTTTTTTTAAATTGACAAAACGAACAAGCTTTTTCCAATACATATTGGGCAAGTATGAACGTGCCCTAAAATTTTTGCTGTGCCAACACCTTTAGCAACTCCTGAAAATTGCCTATCGAGGAGTCTCATGATTAATGTCACAGAGAAAATGAGGAAATATTTTAATTTTGGATTAAAATAAAAATAAAAAACATCAAATACTTATGAGTGCATATAGCTACATATATATATACACTTCCTGATCAAAAGTATAGGGATGTTGTACGTGAAAATGAAATTATGTGAATTCACAATTCACATATGTGGAATTCAAATTAGCCAATCAGAATTTCACCCCATTCCATAATATTTCAAATTCACATAATTTCAATTTTGAATACAACAGGGACACCTGCTGATCATTGCAAACAATTGAATAAAGTGACATGACAATAACTAAAAATTTTGCTATCCCAATCACACCTGCTTATTAAGTAAAAATTAACCTTCATATCAAATATTATAATATACTGAAGTTTTACCACATATAAATAAAAACATTGTTGTTTTACAAACCTTAAAAGATAAAAATGAAAATTTTGGAATTTTCTGAAAAATTTTTGACTCGAAAATTGACCACAATAGCAAGTTCTAACGACCTTTGTGGTATAAGTAAAAAATGTGTCTCATGTTTAAATCTAGTTACTCCTAAAATTTTAGAGCATTTGGTGAATTAATTAATGAGGAAAAAAATAATTCGTAAAAATTTTTACAAAATGATTCAACCTCAAACTGCTCACTAGTTTGAAACATAAAAGACATTAAAAAATTGATCAAAATATTTTAAATTGATTATATTTTATTAAAAAAAAATTAATATCTTGTCGGGTTTCCTCTACTTTCTAAAACAGCATCAACCCTTCATGGCATACTACCTATTAATTTATTAATTTTTTTAATATTAATGATCTTCAAAAATTGGAAAAAATCAATCCATTTAGTATTTTTGTCCATAAATTGAGAAATAATATGGCAAACTTCGTGAAATTCTGCAAATAACTAATTTAAAACATGAGACACATTTTTTACTTATACCACAAAGGTCGTTAGAACTTGCTATTGTGGTCAATTTTCGAGTCAAACATTTTTCAGAAAATTCCGAAATTTTCATTTTTATCTTTTAAGGTTTGTAAAACAACAATGTTTTTATTTATATGCGGTGAAACTTCAGTATATTATAATATTTGATATGAAGATTAATTTTTAGTTAATAAGCAGGTGTGATTGGGATAGTAAAATTTTTAGTTCTTGTCATGTCACTTTATTCAATTATTTGTAATGATCTGCAGGTGTCCCTATACTTTTGATCAGGAAGTGTATGTATGTTAAACTTTTTTGTTGTAAAGAACTTTATTTATTAATAAAAAAAAGGAAATAAATAAATCAAATAAATCAAATGTATGTTGTAGAAAATATTCAATGAAAAAAAACTTGTTACACGAAATTTACTTAGTCGATTTTATGTTGAAATTTTGCACCAGCACCTTCCAGAAATCAGAAAGATGCTTGGTAGGCAGTGGAGATCCCAACAAGACAATAACCCGAAGCACACTAGTTGGGTTGCCAAAAATTTCCTTGATGAGTACTTCCCTGAAGTTATCGGTTGGCCAGCTAACAGCCCAGACCTTAATCCCATAGAAAACTTGTCAAATGTAATGTAGAAAAGCGTATGCCAGCAAATATTAGTGAATTGCGGCAGTGTTTGGTCAAGGAATGGGAAAAAATTACAAGTTCTATGTTGTCTAACCTTGTTTTGTCAATGAATAATCGTTGCCAGATGATAATTGATAGTAACGGCGAATGAATCAATTATTAATATATGTATCAATAACATTCTTGGTTTTAGGCTTTTAAACAAGCTATTGTATGCTCAATTTAAATAAATATTTATCGAATTATTATATATAAATAAACAGATGTCAAATTTTTTTGTAAATTATCTGTTAAAATTAATTACCCAGATTAAATATTTTCATCATGGCATTTTCTTCCTCCTCATTTAATATAGGTAGTCTATAAATTTACTAAATATTCAACACCATTTAATGATAAATACTTAAGACAATGTTGACATTTAAACTGTAGGTCTTGGAGACTGGTAATATCCCTAACCACAAATTAACAAAAACAAAACTGGCAGATAACCAGTACGATAACCGGTTAGTAATGTAGTCACCTTCATTTCTACGTTAAATAAATAAAACCTATCTTTTCTTTTTTAGGTGTATTTATCATCCACTCAGAGTGAACGAGATAAAGCAAAAGCCTGTCATTAATGGTCGAGGTTTCATAGCAAGGTTTTTTCTCTTTTTAAAAACTATGAAAAATTGATTTATGGTGGTTTCTCTTGTATTCAGAGAATGTGCAAAGGATAACAATACTGTTCAATGATAATAAAGCCGAATAATTTGTTGGAAGTTAAAATTAACAAATAACAGCAGTTGAGTGGTGATTATAAATTCATTATAGCTAGTTTAAATAAATATTAAATGGTTATACCCAATTATTAAATGGTTACATAATTGGGCTTTTGTGTGCCATATCTCAATTCTTATATACCATCAACACCAGTCAATTTACACTGGACATTCAATATCACAGATCCAATGAGAGCCTGATAATTGGTCATTCATTATATGATGTTGACTTCCACTTGTTAAAAAACATTATAATTTATTCGAATTTTAGTCGAGATTTTTGAGGCCAAATAGGATAGAGAGAGCTTAAAAAACAGAATTATTTTTATTTGAGCATGAGGTTTATTAACAAAAAGAAATAAAAAAATAAATTATTTATAAAATTCATTGAATAATTAAAAAAAAAAGAAATTTTAAAAATATCATAAAATACATCGCTATATATGGAAATAATAAATATAAAATATTAATTATATATGTATATCTCAATTCTAACTACATGGATAAACTTGGATCTAATGGTGGTTGAACCAATATAGCGTTTTCATTTGTTAATTCTCGTTTAAAAGTAGTGAGATTTTGAGTAAATCTATCTCGATTTTTAGAAGCTAAATTAGATTCAACATCATCCATAAGAGTTGAAAGAGCCTTTAAATAAAGACAAAATTTATTTATTAAAGCTTTATCTTAATAAATATTAACGTAATAATAAAGATAGATATAAATTACTTTGTGAAGAACAGATCTTCTTTCCGGCAATTGATATTGGAGAAGAGTTTGTGTATACTCATTCAGATACTTTTCAAAAAAATTAAAAAAAAATATATTAAAAACTAAAATAAATAAATAAACAAAACAAAATAAAAAAAATATACCCTTACATCTTTGTTAAGTAATATTAGACATAATAAAGGACGTGACAGAGACCATTGATTTTGTCGTTCTTCAAATAACACTACATTAAAGTTCACTACAAATAAATAGCGTAATATATCTGGAAAACGACTTAGATAAGTAAGAAGCCAATGTGGTTTAGGTTTTGACCTAGATGATTGCTGAATAACAAATGTGAATATATGGTCGATCGCATTACAAGCTGAAGAGCATGGAGATCCATGTAAAAAAAAAAAATTAAAGATTCAATAAAATTTAAATTTTTAAGCCAAAAAGAAAATATAAAAGGATATCAAGTTCTTGGATTCCTTCCGCTAAGGATCGCATAATGTAAATCAATGCATTTGAGTTCATATCCGGTAAAGACATCATATGATCATTTGTAAATGTATCTATCCAATCAAAATATGCTTTAGACAACTTTGGGTATTGCTAATAATTTTACGAGAAGGATTAATTACAATTAATATTTTGGTAAGATTTTAAAAAAAATTTTTTTTTTTTTAAAAAACATACAAGTAAATCATCAATTGAAACCCTAAGGATCATATCAAATGATGTATTTAAAGCAATCTCGAGAGCTTTATCGCCATATAATTCAAAAACACCAAAATTAACATAACGTCCAGCAAAAGATTTTGTCAAGATGTTAAAACAAACCGATATACTTTTATATCTGTTAAATAAATAAATAATAAATAAATGATTAATATTGTAATTAGTTATATTTTATATATTATAATACCTACAATTCTGTATATTTATCTTGGGTGATGAAAGTATGATTATTAACATGTCGTCCTAATAAAAAACGAAAATCATGTTAATATGAATATTTTAATCAGATATATATACACACAAAAACACGCGCATATGTATTAATTGATGATTGTAGTACTTACCATACAATGATATTACTTTGCTTTTTATAATTAAATTAAATAAAATCAATTAAGATTATTCATAAAGAAATAATAAAGATTCTAGAAATCGCTTAATTCTAATTGTACCTTGTTTCACGAAATATCAGTATCCCATTTGGAGATGAAATGTCGAAATTTAATCTTGTAGAACGATTATTTACAAATTCGAGAAAAAATTTGAGAAAAGTTACAGAAAGAGTATCATTAGAACATGCTTCTAAAGCATTATAAAGAACTTGCATATGATCAGGATAAAACCATTCAAAAAAAACCAAAAAGTTTTTTCTGTTTTGAATGGCCGAAAGGAATCCACGTAAATCACGAAAAATCCAAGCCAAAGTTGACTATTTATACACAAATATATATATATATGGATAATGTAAATGTTTTAATGGTAAGAAAAATTATTTATAAAATAATAATAATAATAAAAATAACCTTAATCGCTTGTTGTCTGAATGCGACAAGTGAATTTAAACTACGAAGTTCTTTTAATGTATCGTCCCATGGTTTGACAAATTCCTCAAAATCTCTTTCTATATTATCTTCTGCTGCAAAAAGTATTCTTGAAAGAGCAGAGTAATATACCATACGTATTCTTAAATTATCGCTAACATTGAGAAAAGAAAAATTTTTTGCTGTATGATTTCTAACAATCAATTGAGTGGTTTCAATTTTGCGTAAAAGCCTAACTGAACTATAACTGTTTTAATTAAAAAATATGTAAAAGTCATCCAAAAGGCATATTTTATAATTAAATTATTATTATCATTATATTGGGAAAAATAAATACCCTCCAGCCAAGTCATTAAGCAATGTCACACTTTGTTTAACAATACTTGAACTATCACCCCACGTTTGGAGATTTGTTGCTCTAGAAAAGATGGTTTAAGGTTTTAAAATTTTGTTTTTCGATTATTATTAAAAAAAACTATGCATATAAAATTTCTTACATTTTCCTTACAATAATCTCAAGAAGCTAATAAAAAAATTATATTTATAATCAATTTGTACATTGAAATCTTACTAATATATAAATATTAAAAATATACCATATTTTGATCATTTATTCCAAGATTCTCAGATAATTTACTATAAACTTTAGAAATTCTTTGAGAACTTTCACCAATATAACTTTTTCGAAATTGTTGGAAAAAATATACAAAAGACAGTTCTAATTTTTCACATCCGTTTCCACTACCTCGCTAATATTAACATATTTATATTTCCGCCCCAAAAAGAAATAAAGTCAATAACTATTCATTAAAAAATTATTTTAAATATGATTACTCGTATATTACCGGCGCATTCCACGATTGATTAGCGCTCATTAGTTGTAAAACTTTACATGTTAATTCACCATCAATGATATCTTGATCTTCTGTACTGCTATATGTCTATTAAATGAAAAATAAAATACAATTAATCAATCAAGTTGATTTATAATTGTAGAAAACCATGTACATATATATATATATAAATATGATTACTTGTCTGCCACCGATCAAACCACCAATCATATACACTAACCATGCAAATTTTGCTAAATTTAAAATAGTGTTAATTAATATTTTAAGAATTTATTTATATTAAAATATATATAAATATTCCCACTTTCAATAACGTCTAATTCTTGCATTAAGTTATTAGCAGAAATTCCAGAAATAGTCTGATTTATCAATTCCTATATATGTGTGTATATGTATATAAATATCATTCATAAATGAAATTTAAATAAACATAAATAGTATATATTACATGATATCTTTGAGCGTTAGGATCAAAAAAATTAACTATGGCTGTCTTTGAATCAGTGTATTTACACCTAGCAATAATAGCAAACATCTCTAAGTCATTCATCAATGCTTCTTCGTTTTCTAATGGGTCTGTAATAAACAATTTCAACCAAAAATAATTTTTTTAAAAAAATTTTATAAGTAAATTGTTTCTTCTTCCAAACTTACCATCTACTACTCCCTCTATCACTGATTCGACCGACTCAATTTTTGAAGTAACGTATGCATAAGTTAACTAAATTATTATTAATGTATATAATTATAATTAAACAATATAATGTAAGTCGAGTAATTTAAAAATTGCTATTATACCTCAGATGCAATTAGCTCAAGTCTATTTACAGAAAGACTTCGTGCACTACCCATGGATGAAAGCATTTTCGACCAAAATGCAAGTAAATACTGCACGCTGTTTGGAACCAACTAAACAAATTAAATATGAAAAAGAAAATTATTATATTTACTGATTTTAATGATTTATTTCGGGAGTTTGTTATAGTTAATAATATAAGCACCTGCCAATTCTCAAAGCCCTTTATAGAAAATCTAGCTACCAAATCAATCCATTCACTGTATTCAGTTTTCTCAGCAATTTCGCTCCATTGGTAAGTAGATCTAAATCTAGAAAGAAGGCGACAAAATTCATGGTAATTGTTTAAATCATCTAAACCTATAGATGAAACTAGTATTTCTCTAATCCCTTTCATTAGAGAAGTAATAAATTTAGAACGTTCTTCCTCATTGAAAAGTGAACGACGGATTGAAGATATTTGTACTAGAACTTCCATAACCTTTATAAAAAATTTTTTTTAACCGTTCATTAAAAAATATAATAATAATAACTAATAAATAAAACTTTTATCGACATTAGTATTACATGACTTGAATATGGCGACTGAAATCGTTTATAACTTCCAAACATCATTTGTAAAAAGGTCGGATCTTCTATTGTGGACCGCCATTGTGTTGTGACCTAAAATTATAATTATAAAGTCGATGATAATACTTAATATAAAATAAATATTTTTACGAGATTTGATTATTCACACACCTGAATACTTCCAACGTCTTCTCCGGATTCATCTGGTGATGTACCAATAAAATCAAATGCCAAACAATTGCGAAGCAATGTCAAACAATAATCTTTCATTCTACATTCTTGGTTTTCTATATGGATTATAATTATTGTTATTGATCGCGAACCAAATTAATATATATACAAGTAAATAAAATAACATGCACCATCTGTAGATTGCATTTCTCCACTTAATATTTGTCGCAAAACATCCAACCCTAACCGAAAAATATCCAATAATTCCGCATCTCTGAACCCAATGGCTTTATTAATATTAAATCAATATATGAATGTATGTGCGTGTAAGAATAACCAGCATTATGTTTGTTTATCAAATAAAGAATCAAAAATCAATGATCATTACCTGTCTTTCTTTGTCTTGCTAAATTCCTTGAAGAAGGTTGATTAAATTCAACAACCACTATACCTAAAATTTGTAAACCTATAATTCTATGTTCATATGTAGCCTGAATACAAATAAATAACAATGTTAGTGTTAGTATTAATATATGATGAATAGATTTTCAAATTGTAAAGTTTTTTAATAAAAAAAAAATAAACCTCTAAAAGAATCACCTGAATAAAATTAGTTAAATCGCTCTTAATATTTTTAAATTCATCGCCATCAAACCATCCGACTTTTGATATTGTTGCGAAAAGCTGTGCAAGTGAAGATAAAATGAAAGGAGGTTGATTTGGTTTTTGAAACATATAATTCAATATGAAATTTCCTTTATTAAAATATATATATATAAATTGAGTTAAAATGCTTTTTAAATAATGATATCAATCAAAGGATTTAGAAATGTTTGATCAAGATCCTACTTAATTCTAATTTCTGTTGCGCAGTAAACATTGAATAATGATCCAAGACCAGACTCTTTAATCTCGCAGAAGCAAACATTAGGGCATAAGGTGAATTTGATTTTTCTAGTAGCCACCGACAACACATTGAAGTATCAACAGGAGATAGGATTTTAACACCTAAAGGACTGACATTCAAAGGACTGACATTCGAAGTAGTCCCATTGGTGCGCGACGAAATGGTTTCAGAAAAGGTTGGAAAGGCGTTGTCTAACAGTTGTTCGGCCTTGACGCGTAGTTCTTGTGTTTTGGGGGAGTATAAGTCTGTCCACCGACGATACAAAGAAATTGAACCAATTTTGAGCAACACATGTATTGCTAGAGAGTAAAAAAGGTGAGGGTCTCTTTAACCTTGGCAAAGGGTTTCCAGATATAAAATGTTTTGACTTTGGATTCCATTCATCTTTTCAAGTCAGAGAGGTATTTTGCAAAATCGTTGCTGCAAAAGACACTTGATATACTGATGGTTAGTATTTTAGATATTAAAAAAAAAATTAAATTATTTGTAAAATTTTAATGTTGGTTATGATATCATCAATTAGAACATGGTTACACGAACTTGGTATCAATTCTTGATACTGGAATCCAATTACTACATGACAATATACTATGGTTTGACCTTTGAAATAATCCTTTGAACAAATGGATGCTTAACAAGCTAGAAGAATTCTATTAGCAAACTTGTCTAGTCATTAATTTGATTGTTTTATTGTCGTATGGATCAATACAAATAAATAATGCTACAGACCAAGTCAGCAAAGTAGTTTTCTAAGAACATCTTGTACATCATTTAAAACTATTGTTAAGATTAAAATTTAATAAAATGACAATAAAATTATCAAACAAATCTTTCCTTCTTTTGTTAACATATTACCAAAAGTTACCAAGTTCATCTTCAATCTTTCTGCCATTTTAATAAATCATTAGTAAGTTCCTCTTGTGTTTTATGAAATAAAATCTTTATGATCAAAATAAAATATAAACTGCATGCTATTTTATAAATCAAAAATAAATCAAATAACTTTAAACCATGATAACTTTATAGTTCTATTGTTTAAGTCTTCTATAATAAAGTTACAGAGCCTTTTGCCCCAGTTCATTTGGTTATAAAGTTTATCAATTAGCAATTTTTTTCAATGTCTTTACTATATATAAAAAAAAATTTTTTATTTGGTAAAAAAAAAAAACTCTGTAATCTAAAAGCTTGATCTATTTACTATAATTTCCCTTAGTTTCATGTTCGTATCATAAACCCTTGCTTGTAAATATTATTTACTTCTTTGTATTGTGATCAAGTTTTTGTTATATAAACTTGATATACTAAATTTTTGGGTAATATTTTATTTATTAGCAAAAGTTATTTAAATACACATGCATATATATATCTTAAGAAGATGTAAATGGATGAATAGGATGAAATTGATCAAAGACACGTCATATGGAGATGGATTTAAAGAAGTTGAAAATATAATCATTATAATAAAGTCATTAGATCAATTTTCAATATTTAAGTTATTTGCTACCATAAATGGGATTTAAATTGTAGTTTATTTTATAATATTGATCACTTCTAAGATATTTTATTTATTTTTGTTTGATGATTTTTTCTTTTTTTCACTAAAATGTCTTTATCTTTCTTATGCTTTTCTTTTCTCTTTGTTTTGGATTTCAGAAAATCAGATTGAGAATCATTATTATTGATTTCATTAGAAAAGCCTCTATCAACTTTTCTTTTTCTGTGATTAATGACAATAGATGATTTTGATGGTCTTTCAGAATCATGATTATTTGCTTCTTCAATATGATTATCATCATAACTTGAACCCCTTTTAAAGTTTCCTATTTATTAAATTTAAAATATTTTAATTGATAATTTCTTATAAAATTTACATTCACACAAGTGTGTATATATGTGCATGTGTGTTACCTGAACCATTGCTTGCAATTCCTGAAATGTTCATAAATTTTAATTTATTTGCAAAGTATTCTTGAGTGTTCATTTGATTAACTGTTGTTTGAATTCCTATAAGATTTGAATCTTTCTTCCCTCTAAATTTAACTTTATTGATGTAAAGTCCGCTTTTTGAATTAATAATGGATGATGATTGTTCATCATCATCATCATCATCATTGTTGTGATTAATTTTCATTCCAAAGATTTCATTTATATGTGAACCATCTTGATTAAGTGCTTGTTTACTTTTACGGAATTTTGCTCGGTGTCTATATAATAAATGAATGAATAATAATTATAATTGTAATTGTATTTTGTTTTTTTAGAAAGAAATTTAATTACTTACGCCAGACGTACAAAAGAAATATTTTTATTAGATGGATCATCAATAGATTTATGAACATTGCAATTCCTTTTTACTTTCTTTTTTTTACCAATTTTTAACAGTTTGCTATTTTTTTTATCATCCAAATTAACATTATCTCCATCTTCACCCTTAAACAAGTTTACTACAAGATTTTCTTCTACTTGTTGATTCAATCCTTTTAACAACTGGTCAAAAGCATTTGTGTTTTCCAACCAATTATCCATGGTTTTTTTAGTTGCTCCTACACCTAAATTATCTTGCTTAATGGAAAGTTTTATATGTTCGTTTTTACCATCTTCCTTTGCACCTAAGCCTTTACCAGGCGACCAGCCCATCTTTGATAACATCTTGTATCCGAATTTTGTTTCATCTACAATTATTTAAAATTTCTTCCTTTTATATTATTTTGTTAAAAATCAACAACAAAAATGACGAGCATGTTTGTTACTCACCATTACTCCAAGAAAGATTTCTTGGATCAGCTGATAGTCTTTGCTTTACTTTAGGTCCAGCCAATCCCATTTTTGTCTAATAAAATTCTTTTTTTTATGGTGTCACAAAGATGTAATGTCGCTTAAAAATTATTCTTGGTAAAATGGCTTAAACTATCATTAAATAATTTTCGATATTAATTAAGCTTTTAAAAATTTCTGAATACAATGGAAAATATCAATGTTTCAAAAATTGATCAAAATAACAACAACAACAATGCTATTGAAACAGCAGAAGTTACAGAAGCTATCGTATTTATAGCAGATGATCACATAACAACTCCATCTTCGTCATTACCTGGAAATCTTGATAATCCTTTACTTCCACCAAACAATGCCAACTTAACATCAGAAATAATTGATGGACGAAGACTTAAATGTATAGATGTTACCAATGACAATATCTTGGTAGCATTAAAATATCGAGATCAGGAAATTCATGAATTAGTAAAACTTCATCAAGATTATTTTGATTCGGTAAGAAATTTTATTGATTCAAAAGAAGAATGGCAGAGATTTCAAGAAATACTTTATTCCAAGAGAGAAGACATAAATGACATTGAATGGATAAATATGATTGAAGAATTTTTTAAAAATAATTTATTGTTGTTTATAAAATTCAAAGAATTAGTTGGATATGATGATTATTTTGAAGACGATGGTGATTCAGTTGAAGACGATGGTGATTCAGTTGAAGATAATATTTTTGGGCAGGAATTATTAGTAAAGGGGAAAAATATGGAAAAATAATAATTTGTAACCCTTTCTTTTTTTCATGAAATAATATTTGTATGACAATAGAAGAAAAATTACAACTTCTATATTTTACATAATCTTTTTTTTACTCTCTTGATTATTATTATTATTTAATTTTGTGAAGAAAAAAAACTATATTTTAACTTTTGATAGCCAAGATTACGTATTTTAGTATATTATATAGGATAAAATAATCAAATTAAATAGAAATAAAGCTTTAGACGTCAAGCCCTCCTTTTTTATTATTATCATGTGGTTATTTTTTTTTTTGCACCATAGTTAACAGCCAACCAAAATAATAAATTAATTGTTACAAATAAAGCCATAAATAGTTATAAAGTTATAATAAGGGTTGTACGATATTATTTTAATTTCTTTTTAACCACAATTTCTTTTCTTTTTTTTTTTTAAATAAAGAACTTATTAAAAAACCTTAAAACTAACTTTAATTATTAAAACTAATGGATCTACAAAATAATATTCCACCTATTTCAAAGGTGGAATTACAGCAATCACTTCCTTCCGAGGAAATTAATACAACCGAACAGGTTTTTAATTTTTAATTATATTTAAAAAATAATTAAACGCATTTCTACAGTTATTTTAATATATAAATACGTATCCTTTACACTTTAATGTAGACTTCAAATGAATACGACTCCTTAAAATCACAATTAGAACAAATATTTTCTGATTTTGACAAAGAAGGTCGCGGTAGAATTATTTCAAGAGATTTACTTTCTATGATTGAACTTTTCGAAAAAAATCAAACTACTTGTTTACTAAAAGATGATGCTCGAAAAATATTTCAAATGTTTTGTGAGCAAAACCCAAATATGGAGGTGTCTGTTGATGACGTACTTCAACTTATAGCTAAACTATCAGCTCCAAGTAATTGTGAAACGGCATCATTGTCTAATGAACAAGTAACGACAAGAAGACCAATCACAAAATTCGGGTCGGTACGCACTGGCTGGAGTAATAGAACTTTCTCTCCACCCGCTAGAAGTCGAGATGCACCAATGTTGATTGCACCTGATACTGATGTGTGTAATAGTATTAGGAGAATAATTATTATTTAGCCTATCCCCTAATATTTTAAATGATTTATTAATTTTATGATTTGATTTGATTTTTTTTTTTAAAGAACGATGAATCATTTCTTCCAAGTATGATTCCATCTTCACATTCTAGAAGATTATCTTCGCCAGGTTATTATGATTCATCAGGATCTATTTCATTTCATAGAACTTATCATGATATTTCCGATGATTTTTCAGAAACTTCATTTGAAGCTAGTGGCGGAATTGACCAGTCGATTAGTCATTTGTCACAAGTAGGATAATTCTTAATTTTTTTTAATATAAAATATACCATTAATAATAATAATAATAACAACAACAACAATAATAATGATATAACATATATAATCGTTTATTAAGACAATTGATGACCCTGCTCTGCAACTTAGTAAACTTTATCGTCATACGGTTGACCTCACCAAACGTCTTAAAGATTCTGAACGACACTTAGCTTCTGTTGCTCGTCAACATGAAGATCGTATTGAAGAACTACAACATAAATTAGATGAAACAAAAGCAGACCTTCAAGCTAAAAAACGAGAAATTCAAGATCATAAGAGCAAAGAAAAAATTAGTTCGCATCAAATTTTCGCTGTAAATATATTTTTACAAATCTTAATAATTGTATTTATATTTAATCATCATCATATTATTTTTATTAATTCGAATAATTTATTTATATTTCGTAGTTGGAAGGAGAAATACAAAAAATTCAAAAGAATTTATCAGATCAAAAAAATTTATATTCTCACCTTAAAAAACAATATGAAGATAAATATGGTATGTTTTATCAAACGTTAACTCAAATTTTTTTAAAAAAGAAGAACCACTAAAGCATAAAATGTGATAGTAATTTTTATATTTTATGAATATAGAGGAAGCCGAAAAACTTAGTAATATTATAAAGTTGAAGGAAGAAGAATTGGCCAGAACGGAACGAAATCTTACTTTCTTTGCTGCAGAAGAAAGAAAAGTATGTAATTGATAATTTTAATAATTTTTCTTATAATTTCTAATATATTATATTAAAAAATTATATTTATTATATGACAAAAGTGGAATGGTGAACGTGAACGTTTAGAAACTGCAATAAGCAAACTTGAACAAGATGTTGCATCATCTCAACATTCTGAGTTAGAACTTGAACAACAAAGGATGGAAAATTTGCATCTTAAAGAAACTATTGATAAATTAAAATTGGATCTAGATGAAATACGGAGCGGACGAATAAATAATAATATTAATAGAGGATATCCTTCATTTATTTACGAAATAAATTTTTATATATATGATATTTTTTATATTTTTATTTAATTAAGATTTAATCCTTGACTAAAGCTTACTGAAACGTTAGATCTAAGTGATATTGGATCATCCAAGGTATTTTATATCATAACTAGATAACTATATACATGCACATATATATACACGTAATTGATTATTAATTTAATTAATAAATAGGATTTACGTACTGAAATGGTTGATCATGTACTTGCATCTATTGAAGTCGTTTCAGATTCTAACACGGAGGATATAAGAAACGATAAAAAAAACAAGGTAAAATTACATACATTATGTAATAGCTTACTTAATAAATAAATATTAAGTGAATATTAATTATATAATGCCATTTTTTCTTTATAGCCACGACGCCGTAAAGATGATACCTCAGATATTAATACAATTGATGAGCATGCTCAATCAAGATCTAATAATGACTTAGATAGGCATCGCGTGACTGATATCGAACAATCTGGTCGTAAACAAAGTAGTTCACGATCATCCCGCCGTTTTGTAGATCAAAGTGTAGTTGCACGTAATAATCCACTTGTTGAAACTCAATTTCAAACTTTGTCTTCAGAATTAGGTGTTCAATATGCTTTAATTGAAGGAATATTAAGAAATCGTGCATCAAATGGTAATACACATGGAAATCCACACGGAAATTTGCATGATAAAAGAGACAGAGCAATCAGAAATAATGCCGAAGGTGATAATAATGAACTTGCAAGGCATAGAGGTACAAGAAACTCTGTGCGAAGAAACAAAAGAAGAGGTTAGTGTTTGTCATTATGATAATAAATTTAACCGATTTTTTAAATCTATTGTTAATATATATATCATTATTATATTAGTAAATCCAAGTCAAGAAATAGAGGTATTTTCTTTATTTTAAATATCCGATATATATTTTTTCTCTATAAATTAAATTTATCGTTTTTTATTAATATAGGCACAAGCTTTAGAAAAAATTGATTCCCAATCATCAAAAGCACTTGTTCCACGTAATGCAAATAATTCGGTTCATAATATTGCAATAGTTCATAATACTGCAACTTTTGCTTTATACACAGTAGTCATTTACCTCTTTGGAATCATAACATCGGTCTTTGTCATTGATAATAATCAAGGAGCAGCTCCATATAGTGATTGGATGCCTTATGATGACTTGAGAGAAGATGGTTGGGCATCACGTCTTGGGCAAATGATCCTCTATTGGGCAGAAATATTATTGAATGATGGAAACATGAGAGTACCTACCTAAATTAGATATATTACTATGTGGACTTTATATATTTTGTATATTAATTATGCAATTATCCTTTTTATTTTTATTATAGTAGAATTATTTTAATTATTTCTCTGATTCAGTAGCCTTTTTTTTAATTTTTCATTTGCACTGACTTTTATTATTACATATATTTTCTTTGTATCATAATTGTTAAGAAACTATTTCATTTTCTCTTTTATTTTTTTAAAAAATCTAACAATTATTTTTTTTTTAATTTCACTTACATCGCATTCATTTAATTTTTTCCATACTTAGTATTTTGTTATTATTATTATTACTATCATTATTATTATCGTTATAAATCTGACTTGAATTTTTATTTCTTTAGAGTTGAAGTTTATTTGTTTGGTGGGCAATCATGGTAAATATTTTTTTTCAAAAGAAAAAATCTTTATCTTAAAAAAACATTTTATTTCGTATTTTTTAGTTTATATATATTTCTTTTATTATTTGAGATAATAATGTAAATCACATATATATTTTTACTCCCTTCTTTTATTATAATTGATTAATATATATACACACACGCACATATATATTTATTATTAAAATTAATCAACAACATAAAACATTTTTATATAAATAATTTTTTATTATATTTAATTTTATATTATTTTCTTACAAAATTTTCTATTTAAGCCATGCCAAATAAATAACATATCCATTTCTAAATTCATCACCAAACATTGAATTTGGCATTCTCCAAATCACAAAACTTTCTAAAAACTTTTCCATAAATACTAAATGAACATTATCGGATCTTAATTTTAAAGATATTACAACTATAGTTGTGTTATTTTTTTTATTTCTACCATCATTGCTATCACTATCGTCGCTACCACCACCATCATTATCAACAAAAAAAGGAGATGTAAGTATATGGTTTTTTGATTTACATAGTTTGATTAACATTCCAACGAACGAATCAACAATAAATTCATTATATATACAATCACTAGACACCACATAATTCCAATTCTGATTAATAATTTCCTTATCTATTAATTTCTCATTTTCCGTCGACCAATTTAATTCTTTAGCAAAAATTCTATTTTTATAACTTATGTCAGCAGTACCAAGAATATCATTATCATTATTATTATTATTATTATTATTTTTTTTCTTATTATTTTTTTTGTTGTTGATTTTGTCATCACTAATATTTAAATTTAACTTTACATTTTTCCAAATATGTTTTATCATAGAAATTTGATCAGTCATCATAAATATTTTAACAAATGGCATAACACCAATTCCTATCAATCCACATCCTGAACCCAATTCGATTATCTTTGTTTTTTCAATTGAAAAATTTAACCAATCATGATGTTTAATTAAGAATTTTAATAACAAAACACTCGAATCCCACAGTACACTACCAGTACTACCAATCTTTGAAAGTTCTGATTGATTTTGAAAGATTGTTATTGTTGTTTGATCTAAACAATTCATATATATATATATAATTGACATTTAATAATAATTGAGTTTAAAATTTATTTATTATTATTATTATTATTACCATCAACACTTATCCCAATATAATCTTTTTTTTGCGATATAACTTGATTATGTTCCCATTCCAATGGATTTCCTACAGTATACAAAAAAAATACTTCTTCATAAGCATTTTCTACTTTAATTGCATCTTGAGGAATTAAAATTGGATTTGATGATGTCATTTTTATAACTTGAATAATAATAATTAATGTTGTGATGATAAAATTGATCAACATTTAATTTTATACTAAGTAAACCTTATTACACTAAATCAGGAAGATCCAAATCCTCCCTATAGCTAATTGTGGCTTCATAGAAAGTCATCATTGCTGCTGCTGCCACCAGCTAGACATATCCTGCCACAGTTAAAATGGCAGCAGAGAGGTCAGTAAGTCCCCCTTATAAATGGATCAGGTCTCTCTCCATAAGTGTTTGTGTGCAAAAAAATGTTCCTTATGTTACGGGCAGCATTAACATCTCGATTCCAATGTGTCAGATAGACTGATTTGCAGACTCTGACAGACCAGAATTTTTGATGCTTATCACCATCCTGCAGTGTCTAGAAAGCTCTCAGCGAAATTCTTTTATAGGGCCCCACATGATGTTGATGAGAATTTACCATCACCAAATGCAACAACTGTACTGTCACCATTGCTATTTGTTATTTTCTTGCACAGAATATCAAAGGCCTTCTGTTTATTAATAATAGATTTCCATTGCAACTGATGCCAGCAACGTTCACAATAAAAATCAAGAATTATATCAAGATAAAACAGAATGTAAGCAAAATATTGCCAATCTTTTCTAAATTGTTACAAAGTATGTTGCACTGATTTGATTGAGTTGTATCGTTAAAATAAATTTTTAAAAAATTTAATTTCTTCTAATGCCTTTACGATTATTATTACATAGGACAAATAAATACATTACAGAAAAGGTTTATAAAAAAATAATAATCAGTTATTTTAAATTTTTTGAAATATCTCTGATACATTTATTTTATTGTTTTTAGCTCCTTGAAAGTCCTGCATTTCATAGATTTGCTATTTATACACATAAAAGACTAACAAAAATAACAGAAGAAGGTATTTTAAATAATAATAAAAAGTAATATTTATATTTACATATAAATTTATTAAAAGGCTTGTTTTGTTTTGGATAACTAATAGCTATCCCATATATTGATAAGAGTACAAGAAGTAGCATATCATTTATTGAAAATTTCAAAGAAAATATAAAACGAGAGATTCAAAAAAGTCAATGGCCAAAAAAATAAAAATAAAAATATAACAAACATTATAAGCAATCAAAATGTGATAGTAGTAGTTCTATAATCGTGTTTTCAATCGAACTTCCATCACGCTGATGAACATTAACAACAGTTTGAGTGGCGCCAAAATAAAATGCATTGTATTATTTAAAGCTATTGTTTTGAATTATAAAATATTGGAAACGTCTTTTACTATTTGATAAAGATTGCTTGACCTGATTTGCATAATCAATAATTATTGACTCGACCAAAAAAGTCAGTATGTTCTATTAAGATTGCCATCATAATTTTTATTGATTCAAAGATGGCATGATGTAGTGCTTTATTTAAGTTGCTTTAATCTCAACATTTTAATTTAAATCGTTTTAGAAGTTGAAAATCCCAATTAAATTGTTGCTACGATGGTGAACATCATCTACCATGCCTTTTAAGTGATTTCTCAGAAATATCACATTCTGAAAGTTCACCAATGTAATTTGATTAATTTATTCATGACTTGTAGATAAAAATATCGCATAATATGGGAGCTTGAGATCGCTATATATTTTTTCATAAATGCCAATGTTATATATTTGTGATTCTCTACAAAACATGCGTGCATCATCTTGATGAAATTATCAAACTCTATTAATACCGGTAATTACTCCTGATGCTTCATTTCAAAATTTAAATACCTGGTGCAACCTGCAAGTAGTATTTTAAACATCAATCAAGTGACCAGGAAAATCCATAGGTATTAAAGATGCCATTTTACAATGCTATAAGTTCCTTTTAAACTCACTTTGGTGCATTTACAAAATAATTTGAATGACTTGTTTAACAGCCTTACGTTTAAGATTACAATAATACTACCGGTATTTCCAATTAACCTATAGACAATACTTTATTTAACATTCACTAGTTAACCCTAACTTCTGCTTATTCACTAAAGCAAATTACGTTACTAATAGTTGTTAGCACTCACTAGTTAATATTAATATTTCTTTATTTGTAAATTGTTACATTTTACACCTTGATAATAAAAATAATACCACTTTGCATTACATTATTCTTTAACAAATTGAAGTTTGTGGAATACCTTTGCTGAAGGAACAAGTGTCACAGAATCTTTAATTATTTACTATATTACCAAAGGGATGGATGCCTTTCGGAAATATAATTGTCATTCTTTATTTTTCTTTTTTGTAAAGGATTATCCATTTGGATAGCGAGGAAAGCGGTTAGTGACTAGCTATACAACTAACGGAAATCTAGCTAGAGAAGGGTAACTATACGCTCGACAGCCAAAGGCTAGGAACTTGGATTACACGCTTGCTATTTTGGTAATAACGACAGGACAATATCTTGTAAGTGAGTCATCATACCCGTTATTGAAAAGGCTATTGTCAACCTATATATGTTATTGGGATTAAGTATTTTGGCCGAGAGAACTGAAGTTAGAAAACACACTATTTTATAGTGGAAGAAAAAGGATGCATGGTAGGAGGAACACCACCCATAAGAATAAAAAGACTGGAAGAAGCATATATTTTATACAAAAGACCATTGCAATTTTACCTTTTAGAATTATCAATTATTTATTTAACACTCAAATAAACTAAATACCAAAAAATGTCATTCCGTATTGAATTTTTATTAAATATAGTGATGAGTTTTTGACCAATGCCATTAATTAACGTGGTATTTGATCCTTTAGAGGAACCTTCAATCATTGTCATTACCGAACGAATCACTATTCCAGCCATTATAATCGATCATAACACTTTTACAAGAAAATAAAATCATCAACTACGAAACATCAACACCTGCCATTACTAGATTATCCACTATAATTGAAGAAGAAATTGTTAGCGGGAGTTGGGGTCAACGACAAGTTGTTATAAACGCAAGTTCGAACAGAAGAAATCATAAAATGTTTGGCCAATCACACATTCTTGAGATACAAAAATTAACCATTACCGTGTGGGTTGATAAAAAATGGTGGCGAAGCAAAATCAGACGAGCATTTTGTTTGGGTAAGTAAGCACTTGTCTAAATTACCGCAGATGCGGAAGACTAACATCATATATAAATACAACTCGTGTTGGAAAAATGTCATTTGTTACATTACTTGGGAATATTGGCCCGAGTGCCCAGGATTATGCCTTCACATAATTGGCATAATTGTTCATTTTACTTTTATGTAAAGTGATTGATAAAATGA